GAGGCCCCGCGGAGGGGGGGAACGGGGGGGGGGAGGGGACGGTGGGCGCGATGGGGATATCGATGGGTCGAAGCGGTTCAAAGCATGCCTGACGTGCCATGATACTGTTCGTGAGTGTTCCGGTTAGCGTAGGGGGGGAGGAGGGGCGTTATGCACAGCTGCTGTACCTTGTTCAAATTTTAGACCCTGCGAGGCCTGGACGTTGTTCACGGAAAAGCGGGTAGGGTGGTGGGTGTGGCAGGCACGGTAATCCCTTGTTCCTTGGATTTCGATCGTTCGGCTTGTGCGGTGACGTAATCAGTTGTTTGTTGAGTTGATTTTTTTTCGTGAGGTGCTCAACTATTGCTTGAGTTGATCGTTTGGCTTGCGGGGTGACGTACCCAATTGTTGCTTGAATTGATCGTTCGGCTTTTGACCGCGAACGGTAGGACCCCGTTTTTCCGTTCTACTCGAAGGGGCACCGTTGATTAGCCTCATAGAGGTCAGACGGGGGGGGGGGGGGGCTCACCAGGGACATGTGCCCCAACGCTGGTGGAAGGTGAGAAGCGAAGCTGTTAGTCGGGGGGGAGGCCGAGCCCGATTGGACTTACCGCTCGATGGACCTACTTGCGGACTCGCTCGCGCAGAACAAAGATTGACAATCACATACCAGATGTGTACTTCATCACAGACACAGGCATGACTTGGCCACCACCAAACGAACCGGTAGGGAGTTCCGGCGAGATGCGTAGCGGGAAAAACGGTGTGCTGTGGTTGGACTGTGGTTGATGGGTGCCCCATCCTCCTAGTGGAAAACTATTTAGTGGAGCTGCTTACGCGCTTTGATATTTTTGTTACTATTTTTTTAGAAGTATGAGTCCGAAACGACACAGTTAGTCAAAGGGGATGTGTTGTAGAAGGGTGTGTGTGTTCTTCCCTTCTATTCTGGCGCCGGTTTACAGGCCGTTCGGCGTATATACCTGGCGTATCAGCCGGGGTCACACACGCGGAAGGTTGCACGGGAGCTTCTTTTTTTTTCCTCAATTTTTGTTCGTTTCATCCATCGAGGTCTTTCGCTTACTGCTGTGGGATTTGTTTTGTGTGCCGAGCGAGGCTGCATTTTTTGCTTTTTCCTGTCTGGTCGTAATATTCTTCAAACGAGGAGGAGCTGTCTTGCCTGCACCAATCAAACACGGCTTGTTGGTCTCGTGCGGGCAAATGATTCTGAATAGATTCGAGCCAAACAGGTATTGTTGCGTGTGGTGTGTTTCAGTCAATTTTGGCCCTTGTTCGGTCTTACAAGTACAGTACTGGAAATAATGTCAGCGGTCTAATGTGTATTTCGCCGCCGTTTTGTGCCCAAGATCGATGTGGAGTCGACGCCATCATTGTACTCTGTTGGATTGTTTGCCCGTGGGCGTGTAGAAGGAGGGCAGTGTCTCGGTTGTCGGGGGGTGTCACATTTTACTTCTTTTGTTTCTGGGGTGGTTTCGGCTCTGCCCTACACATCGAATGCAAAACTAGTTCAAACACCTATCCATAGAACCAGCGCTCAATGAAGCCTCATTTTGACGTCTTCTCTGTGCCCATGTGTGTGTGTGTGTGTGAAATCGTCATGCAGGGTGCAACATGGCTTGTACGGAGAAGAATGCCGAACAGAATGGTTTGGTGCCAACAGCCCCTTTATTATTTGCTGCACACCTTTTCAACAGAATGCCCACCTCCTACTGCTGGCTTTGTGGGCGGCCTCTCAACCTACCGGCTCTAAAAAAATTGGCCTCCTCTTCTCGCTCTCAGTGTCCCACCTACAAATACTACTTGCCGTACGCCCCACGCTCTTTTCTGTGCCTTCCACGACATGTACTGATGGGCAACCATTTGAGGTCACGCATAAACGCCTCCTCCATTGTGACGAATACTCCATACAAAAATACATGTTGCGCTTGCGCGACACGCCGGGGGGCAGCTTGTAGGACGTGCCTGTTGTCTGTTGACACCCGCTCGCCCTGGTGCCTCTGTGAATGCCTCCCGTTGCAAGTTTGGCCGCGAGAGGGTCCCCTCCCAAGTCAACAATGATGTCGAAATCTTAAGCCTTTTCGAAACAACAATTATTTGGTTTGGCCTGGTGCTTGTTACCCAGCTGCCTTTCGGCGACAGGGTACACCGCTAGTCTAGACACTGGCGGTCGACATATTTTGTGCCCCCTCGCCCCCCCCTCCCCGCAGCATGGCAGGAGCATCTACTGCGTCCGACGAGCCCACCCCGAGTACAAATCACGAAAAAATGCTTACCTAATACCGCCCCGCCCACCCCCCCCCGAACGCCCGCTCTCTTCTATTGTAAACAACAATTAGGCAGAATGAAACAAGTTGCGAACTTGCACGTCACCCGGACCCCTGACTTCATACAGCCCGGTTCCCAGTATCATGAAGCAGCGAGAGAAGAACGACACACTGACAAAATTCTGTTGTTGAGCAAACCTTTCTAACAAATCTGACGACTTCCTCCAACATTGGCGGCGAGGTGAGAGCACAGCTGTCTGTCTCTCAGGCCCGTTTCTGCACCCTGCCGTACCAACCCACAACTTGTCCAGCCGCAGTCGCAACAGCTAAGAAGGAGAGTCCAATTTCATCACACCCCAGTCTGAGGCGTCTGCGAGATGTCACGACTCATTTTTCAATCAATCTTGCACGAAACACACCCTTTCACGCCTGCCGTCCTCGTTAAGAATTAAGGCTTCCGCTCTCCTGCAACCACCTCCTTTGATGATACCCACTTGGTCCGAAAAAAATACCTTGCCCAACAAGAACGTAAGATTACAAGGCACCGCAAAGGCTACAGACACACAAATAGGTCCACGTTGACACACAAACGATGCCCGATCAGAACGCCCTGCGGGCACGCCTTCTCTACACAAACTACTTCGTATATATTCCTAGTTGCTTTCCGCGTCCATGTCCGCGAACAGCATCGCGCTACCTGCGCCGCCGCCCACAACCTTCGCCCTGCAGCCGCGGCGACTACCACCGGCCGACACCACCCCTATCGGAACAGCAGCCTGCCGTCGGAGCAACGCTTTCAGCTTCTCCACCTCCACGACGCCGCCGCCGCCCTGCTGCTGCTGCTCGGGCATGTTCTCCAGGAGCACTCGGGCGAGGGCAGAGCAGAACGTCCTCCCGGAGAGAGACCGCATCAGCCCCGCCAGGCCCCGAGCGGCCTCCTTGCCCCCGTTCGACTCCGATTCGGACTCCAGTATCACCGCCGCGAGACGGCACCCTTCAAGCTCCCCCGCCGCCATCCGGAAAGCCTCCAGCGCCTCAGCCAGCGCTCGCGACGCGGTCATGCACACGCGGGTGTTGACGATCTCCTCGTCGTATTTTCTTCCCCCGGCGGCGCCTGCGGCCACGCCGGCGTGGCGGTGAGCCCACACCCTGGCCGCCCACTTGGCGCACTGCTTTAGGGCGGTGCGGCCGTCCCTGTCCCCGCCGGCGCCCAGCAGGAGCGGCGGCACCCCGCTGCTGCTGCTGCCCCCCCGGGCTCCTCCGCCCACGGCTCCCTGTCGCTGGCGGCGAAAGGTCTCGAGAGAGTCGAGCACGATGCCCAAATAGGCCGCCCGAGCGCCGAGCTCGAGGGGGTCTTTGCCCACAACCAAGTCCTGGAGAGCCTCGTCGAAGCGGCTCCAGTTGAGGGGCTGCCAGCACCTAGGGAATGCCTCGAGGGAGCTCGTCATCAGCCGCCGGAGGTACTCCGTCTGGAAGCGGCACCTGTATGTGTGCATAGCATTGGAAGGGGGCGGCGGGAGCGGGGTGAGATGACGGCAGAAATGCATGGGGGGATGGATGAATAGCGGTAAAGGAGGTGCTTGGTCTGGAAGAGGCACCTGAATAGGCATCGGGCGAGGATGACATGACAAAGAGAACGTGGGGTAGCGGGTAAAGATAAGGATGATCGGGTGCTTCACCGCCCGGACGTGCGGGCGAGGAGGCGAACGATTCGAATGATAGCCTGTCTGTACTTTGGGCGCGGGGCATGTATTAACACAAGTGCTTCACAGGAACTTCATTTCGTCCACAGCCGTGAGAGCTCAAGTGCAAACAATATTTCCCAACTGTCTTATATTTTTCGCCCACGATCGTGAGAGCAACATATAAACAAACGTAGGTACCAAACTGTTTACATCCAGCACAGAAGCCCGACTGACTCATTCACGCCTTGGGCGCCACTTAGGGTAGAACTTCGAAGTCCTGGAGGGTATTGAGAGCATCAACAACGACGACGAGGCAGATATACCGGAGGTTTGTTGTGGTTCTTGTTACTGGTGCTTATGGTGATGTTGAGACAACACAAGCACTGAACAGATGATCGAAGCGACCACCAAGAGGAGGGGGGGCGTCGAACGACCCAGTTAGAGGACACGACTCTGTAGTCGAGGTGAGATCGCATAACGCAGCGAGAGAGGTGCAGCTGAGCTGAATACAATGGAGGCGGCAGGCAAACCAGCCATACGTTCTCCCTCTCGTGACCCTCTCCCTATCATTTCCCCCCCCTGTGATGATGTTGAAGTGTGTTGGTTGTATCTGTTCTGTTTCCCCCGGTGGAGTGATCGTTCTAATAGAACCGCCCACACTCGTTTCGCTCGTGTGCACGCGTTGGAGAGGAAGGGATTGGCCGGTATAACCCTGGCGGCGAAGAATAGTAGGGGAATGAGGATAAATCAGGAGGCTCTGTTTAATATTGTGTTGTCTTGATTTGGTAACGTCCGATTCTTCCCGAAACGCTTCTCAATGCGAAGACATGCTCAACAACATCGTACGTGTGTATGATGTTGTGTGCCTTGACGTGGTGATGTTCGATTCTCCCTAAACGGTTCTTCTGATGGTGCGAACACAACACCACCACCCCCTCCACCACACTATGACAGACGGTGCCCCCCCCCCCCC